TTCGTATCAAATCTTTTGCTCGTTTCATTATCTTAGCAATTTCTACGATTAAAGAAGTGTATTTACTCTACGACAGAATTCTTTTAGAATTTTTTTTGTACAAATTCAAACTTTCCTCTTCTCCGGCGAAGATATCCGAGAATTGGATATCCCGGTGTATCCCAAATCTGACATCTTCTTAAAATAATCCCTCAAAGCATCGTCGTAAAACTTTTGCTGCATTCGTTGCTTCTCCGTCTCGAAGAACTGCTTCAACTGATCCTTGTCCCGAAAATAGTTCGGGGTATCGCCGCCGGGCAGCTGCTTGTTCTTCATCAACATCCCGTAAAAATTATGCATCTTGGGGTTGTTGTACGCGTTCTCCATTCCCTTCTCACCCACCCCTTTCGAACCCGTTTTGGAAAAATGAGATATTTTCTCGCGAGAGAAGGGCGAAGTCGAGCCGAGGTGAGAGTCGAACGACGAACCCTTCCTGAACTGTCTCGAGTCGTGGATATTTCCATATTTGGAATGTCCGTCGACGCGTACCGGCTCGATATTCGAGCCGGAAACCTCGATACCTCCCGCTTTAGAATTACTCCTCGGATGCGATCTTGGCCCATGGTGGTGATGATGATGATGATGATGATGATGATTGTAACTCTTGTATCTGCTCGATCCAGGCCGTTTCTTCCCCGGTTTGTCAACGGTTTGGAAATGATTCTTCCCTCGATGAGAATTGAATTGGGGCGGCGTCAAAAACTCCTTCACGTATTTGCTGTCTCTTGGATCACCCGTCGTCCCCAAACTGTAATTATCCTGTTCGTTAGGCCTGCGGTGTCGATGAGGTTTGCTACTCGAGTGAAAATTGTGCAAAGAGTCGGAAGGATTCTTCTTCAGCATCTGTTCCAACGCAGCCATCAGCTCGTCCGGCTTCCTGTTTGCCAACTCCGTCGTCCTCACCTTGGTCTCGCTATGATCGGCATCGTGGTTCTTCTTCTTCTTCCTTCCGGAATCCAAGGACGCCTTCAATCGTTGCAACTCGTTCTTCAACTTCGCTATATCGGAATCGGTGACGTTGTACCGATTGTACAGCCCCGCTTTCCTGTCGTTGTTCCATTTCTGGGTGTTGTAAATGGTTTTGAGCGACTCCTTGAACATCTGCTCCGCGTACGCCTGCAGATCCGAGTTCAGTTTCGGCTTCACGAGGAGCTCGCTCTGGGCCGAGAAGCTGGGCTTGAAGAAGTTGCCGCCCGGCAGCAACGGGACGAGATTCAGATTCTGTTGAAGGGGCTCGACGGCGTGCAGCTTACCGTTCAGGGCGTTCTGACTTTTCACCACGTCCACGTTGGGCACGAACTCGAGGGGATTGTACACAGGCCTGTCCCGTGACTGGTACGGTCTCGTCGGGTCGACGTTCGCGTTCGAGCCTCGATTGTCGTTGACAGAGGTGCGCCCCTCCGTCGTCGCCGAAACCGGCGCGTTTTGCATCGGTTCGACGGTCGAGGAGAGGAGGGCTGGCCTGGCCGTGACGAAGCTGGTCGTTGCGAACATGGGTATCGAGGTGGTCAAAACAGCGGCCGGATAATGCATCGTCTCGTAGGTATTTATGATCGAGGCGTCGAACGTGCTCGGTTTCATGTTCGGGTTCACGATTTCCACGTTCCTCGTCCCCACGTGCGGTAGATGGCCGTTACCTATCATCCCGGCAACACCTGGCAAACCGTTCACCGTGTTAACGTTATCGGTGCTGTGACTGGCCGCGCTATCGATCATTTGATACGCGAGAGACGGGAATTTGACGTTCCTCGAATTCGAAGCGGCGTTATCCAACTCCACGCTCTGTTTCGGGAATTGTTGGCCCTGATCCCCGCCCGTATTCCCTTGAAACGGTTGGGAAGGAGTGCTCGATAGGGTGGTGTAGGTTGGCAGAGGTTGCAACACAGCCGGCAACAGATTGGTGGTTTGAACGTAGGTCGTTTTCGTTCTCGACGGAGGAACGTTGATCGTCTGCTGATAGAAGCCGGTCGAGGGTTGCACCTGGGGTTGCTTAACGATTTGCTGCCCGTTCGAGTTTTCCAGATAATAAGAATTATCGTTCGGCGTTTGGCCGTGATCGTTGTGGCCGACCGCCAGGCTGGCCGTGGCCAAGAAATTCGTGTCCGTATCCGGAAGAAGGCCGTTCTTGCCTCGCGACTCGGGCGTTATCAGATTGATCTTCGTGACGGGTATAGCGTGCGCCGTTGGGGCGATGGTGGGCAACGTTGGAAGCGGTTGCACCTGCAAATTACCATTACTAATAGGATTCTGGCCGTGCATCCCGTGAGGGTTCACCTGGATATAATCGGCCCCCGTGACGGGGGTTTGCACCAGCGTCGAGAGGGTTTGAAGGGTGGGCTGCGGAAGTATCAGCCGTGGCGCGTGGTTGGTCGATATATGATTCGAGGGATCGACGATAGTTGTACGAGTCGTGTCCTGAATCTGGAAATTGGGGTTTGGGCTGACCGTGAAAACAGGGGCGATCGTGGTGGACAGGTATTGCGGCTTAAGATTCGGGGGGAACCTATCATTCTGTTGGCCGTTCGTTTGCGGAAGAACCGCGTGCATCGAATTGCCAAAGTTCCCCTGGCCTACGATAATGTCTGGAAGGGGCGTGGATACCCTTATCTTCCCCTCGTTTCCGCCGGAATTTATCGGCGCGTTGGCCGACGATGAAACGATATTGCGCAAAATTGCGTTCGAGACGTCGAACCCTTGGCTGCTCCCAATCGCTGTCGCGTGGTCGAAGCTCGTAGGTACCAGGTTCACTTTAACGGGGACGATCAGCTTCGGTTTCTCGACTTGATCGATCTCGATACCGCTCGAGTGCGATATCTCCAGATTCGGGGATATTTGGTTCCAGCTGGTGCTCGGCTTGAACTTGACGCTCTGCGCGTGCCTCGTCTCCGATAATCTGCCGTCGTATCTAACGTCCTCGTAGCTGTCCTCCTGCTCCTGATGCCTGCCCGACTCGTCCGACCACGAGTTCCCCCCTCTCACCCTTTGCCGGTGAGCCTGCCTAGATCTCGACGAGTGATGCTTCGTTTTCCCCTTGTGCTCCGCGCTGTCGTCCATGCTCGACGCTCCTCGATGCTCCTTAGCAAGCCTCTTCGAGTTCCCGTTCGGCCGCCTCCTACTCTTCTGCTGCACCCTTCTCGGCCTCTCCGTATATTCCCCGTAATCGCTGTCGTCCGACGTGTCCCTCGAATCCTCGTCGTTCTCGAACCTTCTGTCCCTGTCGTTCATCGCGTAACGATGCGACACCTCCGAGCTCCCCTCGGTGATCCTCGAAGTTCGGTAATCGTCCGTGTCGAGATCGGATATTCCGGACGGTTGATCAAACTTGTTGTAACTCGGTTCGGCGACCACAACGGGCCTGGAAAATTTGTGGCTGTTGGTTAGTTGAGAGGAGGAGGAAGACGATGGCGCGACGTCGTTCCTGACGTTGGTCTTCAGAAAGGCGTTGACCTCCTGGTTCAGCCTTGGAAAGGACGAAGCGGATGGCTCGTTCCGGTATCCCGTCACATATCTGTGCTGTTCATAATTGCCACCCACTTTCTCCCTATCGTGACTCCTCTTTCTTTCTTTATCCTCGGCCGAGTCGGCGGAATAGTAAAAGCTGTACGAGTCGTCCTCGTTATTTTTCGAGGAAGGCGGAACGACCATTCCGTAATTTCCCACGTACCTTCCTTCTAACTTTCGATCCCTCGTTTCACCTCTCGATCGTTTCGACGATTGCTCGTCGAGAATATTGCCTCCGCTCGTCGGTTCTTCGTACAAATTCGGATAATTGGCTATCTCTGGTGTATCGTTCCTAACTTTCAACAGATCGAAATCGTTCTGATTGCCCTGATACTCGAACGATCTACGATTCGCGTTCAAATTAGAAAAGTTGAGCAGTATTCTCGCCTCGGTCGAGTACATGGGATCGTTCGCCAAGTCGTCGCCCTCCCCCGTTTCCTTCGTCTCCTCCTTCTCCTCGCCGATTCTGCTCGAATTTTCATTCTCGTTCAAAGAATTGCTCAAAGTAGCGTTGATCGTTTCTTTTCCTTTTTCCAAAACGAGTTGTTGGCGCGGATCGAACGGCGATGCCGAGGGGGATATTAATATAGGCACGAATCCGTTTGAATTCTCGTAGTGGACAGTGGTGTCTATCATGGATGTTATCAACTGGTCTCGAAAATTATCCCGCTTCTGTTCCACCTTCTCCGCGTTTTGCGCCACGTTCTCGGACGCGGTCGCTATCTGATCGAACGCCGTCTCATCCGCCTTCTTGTTTCCTGCACCTGTTACGCGTGGCCAGCTCAAAGATAAGAGAACGACCTGCATCGAACACCAAATATTTGTTAATCGAGGTCGATGCTATTTAAACAGTTTAACAAATGATAGAAACTCGATATGCATGGAAATATAGAATTTAATTAAACAAGTGTAAATTGAAACCAGATATGTGAAAATTTTTGAAATGGCCAAGTCAAAGATAAAAGAACGATTAGATCGAACATGAAATATTTGTTAATCGATGCTATTTAATCAAATAGTTTAACAAATGATAGAAACTCGATATGGAAATATAAAGTTTAAGGAGAAGCATAAATAAACCAGATATGTGGAAATTTTTAAAATGGCCAAGTCAAAGATAAAAGGACGATCTGCATCGAACACCAAATATTTGTTAATCGAGGTCGATGCTATTTAAACAGTTTAACAAATGATAGAAACTCGATATGAATGGAAGTATAAAGTTTAATTTGTATTATTGGGAAAGCATAAATTGAAACCAGATTAGTGAAAATTTTTGAAATGGCCAGGTCAAAGATAAGAAAACGATCTGCATCGAACACGAAATATTTGTTAATCGATACTATTTAATCAAATAGTTTAACAAATGATAGAAATTCGATATGAATGGAAATATAAAGTTTAATTAAACAAGTGTAAATTGAAACCAGATTTGTAGAAATTTTTAAAATGGCCAGGTCAAAGATAAGAGAACGACCTGCATCGAACACCAAATATTTGTTTAATGGATACTATTTAATCAAATAGTTTAACAAATGATAGAAATTTGATATGGATGGAAATATAAAGTTTAAGGAGAAGCATAAATTGGAACCAGATATATGGAAATTTTTAAAATGGCCAAGTCAAAGATAAAAGGACGATCTGCATCGAACACCAAATATTTGTTAATCGAGGTCGATGCTATTTAAACAGTTTAACAAATGATAGAAACTCGATATGGATGGAAATATAAAGTTTAATTAAAGAAGTATAAATTGAAACCAGATTTGTAGAAATTTTTGAAATGGTCAGGTCAAAGATAAGAAAACGATTAGATCGAACATGAAATACTTGTTAATCGATGCTATTTAATTAAATAGTTTAACAAATGATAGAAACTTAATATGGAAATATAAAGTTTAAGGAGATGTATAAATTGAAACCAGATTTGTAGAAATTTTTGAAATGGCCAGGTCAAAGATAAAAGAACGATTTGCAAATTGCGATTTGGAAATATTTGTTAATCGAGGTCGATGCTATTTAAACAGTTTAACAAATGATAGAAACTCGATATGAATGGAAGTATAAAGTTTGATTTGTATTATTGGGAAAGCATAAATTGAAACCAGATTTGTGAAAATTTTTGAAATGGCCAGGTCAAAGATAAGAGAACAATCTGCATCGAATATGAAATATTTGTTAATCGAGATCGATCCTATTTAATCAAACAGTTTAATAAATGATAGAAACTCGATATGGATGGAAATATAAAGTTTGGTTTGTATTATTGGGGAAGCATAAATTGAAACCAGATTTGTGGAAATTCTTGAAATAATATATTGATTGGAAATGATAGTGTATATCGAGTAACGTGTCATTTGAGTTGATAATTAGAGATAATTTCGAATATCTCATGATTTTTGTTTGAAATTATTTCAAACAAATTATTCCTTTTCGTTAAATATGGAATTTGTTTAATTAAAATCCTCAACGCTTGAAACGTCGTAATTTTTCCGATCCGGGGATTATTATTTCCACGATCGTTTCTTTCGGTTTCGGAAAACGAGCGAGTAACAAAATCATTCGTTAGTTGAAAATAAATTATTCCGTGTGCAAATTTAATATTAATATTTCATATATTTTCCGAATATTGAGAACACAGGTCGAAATATTATTTCGCATAATTGTTCCTCGTTTAAATTTCAAATCGAATTGCCTCGGATCTGATTAAATCGTAGGTGATGATCGCATATCTCGAATTTTATACCCCAATACGACGACACGTTTATTTATCGGAGTGAATGTCGGTTATTCATTAAATCCCAATTTAACCAAAATTATACGGGATATGCGAAATAATTATCCGAGATTCCTATTAAACGATCGTTATGCTCGAGGAGAGAAATTTTTAAATTTCCCGCTCGCCTACCCCTTCGCTGCCCCGAATCTCGAACTATGGAACAATTATGGATGATCACATGGATTAATTGCACCCGTTTTCTACTTAAACGCGTCCTCGTAAAACTCGAACTCGTTCGTTCGAATGTGCGAGGATCCTCGAAAGAAGAAAGCGCTAAACCGATAATTGGGAATTTAAGATAATACGAAACCGCTAAACGGAATGATCGGTGAAAATAAGTGGCAGTCAAGGGGACTGACCTAGAAAAAAACGGGCAGGCTGGAAAAGTAAAATGCGCGAGGCATGCGTGTACTATTATGACAATCAAGGACTGAATGTGCACGGGAGCAAATCCATAGAAACTTTCTCACCGATTTGGACAAATTTTCATTCCAAATGAAAATTATCGTATAACGAAAATTGTCGCGTTTATCATCGAATTTGGAATCAGAACAGAAATAATCGATTGTTTTTTTTTTTTTAACCAATGGTAAAAATAGGGTAGGATTTAATCGTCAAGAAACGAGTGGAAATTGGTTTTTATACGTTTAGAGATTTTCTGTTCTACTTTCGAGGAAAATGATCCTCGATATGCGCGAAATTTCAGTCATCGATTCAACCGAAAGAAAGTAAGATCTTTTTCTTCCGATTGGCAAACTCGAGTATGCGAGGCAAATTAGGTGTCGAAATGTGAAGAGAGAAAGAAAGTGCTCCAATTACACCGATCTACGTGTCTGTTATTTGGATACACTCTATAAATTTTATCGATGTTTTATGTTTAATTTTTCGGATAAATATTAAACAGCGTTACGTACTACTTTTATTATAATTCCTTCGACGTGTTAATTATTTCCCGTGTGTTTTTTTTTTATTCGAGAAAATAACAGAGCGAAACATTGGAATTTCGAGAATAAAGGAAGCGTAATTTATTAATTGCGATTCGAACGAATTCAAAAAAAAAAAAAAATAACACAATTTTTAGAAAAAAAAAAGAAATCCTCCGTCACAATTCACACGGAATCGATCGATGTTTTACATACGCTCGTATTAAAAATTTTGTACATAACATCGCGTTACTTACGAGATAAAACAACATTTTCCTATCCATGGTAGGAGCACCGTTTGCCCCCCTAAAACAGAAAACCACGATTAAGATTGGCCGAATTTCACTGAGCTTCGCGTAGAGCACATCGATGATCCCGACCACGATATTTTACTCCGATCCCCTGTGTCAAGTAATCCGAAAAAGACCTTGCGAGGTGGATCTCCACGCGAGAACTGAGCCACATAGTAGACACGCGATTTTCTTTATACACTCTGGTAGCCAAGTGAAAAATATCGTTCTAAATATTATCCTGTACTCCACCATCAAGAGGATACTTTCATTCGCGACACGCGACCAACGTTGGAAAATTCTTGTCCATTTTTCTGCTCAGGATACTACCGTCCATCGTTAACGCGCGAGCCGTTCACCGAAAGAAGACGAAGAAGAAGAAGAAGAAGAAGAAGAAGAAAATTTTGATCCATCACGTTCCACGCATTTGAAATCCGAGAAAAAGAATATTTTCAACTACCAATTAAGTCAATCAGGAAGATATCCACACACGCGCGCGCGCACACGCGCACAAATCGATCCATTTTACTCGTGCTCCGCTCGTAAAGTTTATCGCGCCATTTAATCACACGGTGATGAGAAGCTGACGCGTATATTTCGGACAATAATAATTTTTCTCCAACGGAATCGATGCCATCAGATATAAGGAGAATCGTAATTGGATAAAGATTCGCCTCGGACGTGGTCAGTAGTTTCCCCGCTGCGTTTTATGCGCTCTGAAACACACGCATTATGCGCAGCGCGCCACCTCCTCCTAGATGCAACCGGCCTGGCACGATAGAAATGGCCGACGTCGATGATACCGAGCATCTTCTTCTCTGTGTTCTTCGCGACCGCGCTCACAATCGTCACAGTTTAATGCCTCGCGTCTAATTGCTCCTTGCTCCGTGTACGGGTGGAGGAGAGATGTTATCGTCGCCTTTCATTGTGAAAACGTGGAATTAAGCGCGCCCTACGCGACCATCGCGCGGGTTTCAGCTTGTTCGTCTACGGATTAACAGATAATTAATGCTAATTGCCTTCCTTTCGCGAATATTTCAACAATCTTTTTTCTTCCTTCGACGCTATCTTAGAGAAAAGCTTGGAGAATAATTATTCTTTATAGATTCAGATTTAGATTTCGTTGCGTGTTTATGCATCGAGACAAGTTTGTTGTTTTGATAGCGATGTTGATGTCGACGTCGGTGTTGCGAAGAACGAGTTTCCAACGTCATTCGTTTAGGCGCATTACGAGCTTGCCTTTTTCCACCGCGAGAAAAGTACAAACGAGATATATACCAGGTGTTTTCATTAGAAATTAGACGCGCGAGTTTTTACTTTTCTCGAATATTTTAGATATTCGACCGCTTTCAGGTTAATTAGATGAGCATGCTGAACGTCTATTAATCATAGAGAGATATTGGGCGTTGTCGAAGAAATTTTGATGAAGATTGGGAATTGAAAGTAACGAAAAAAAAAAAAAAAAAAAAAAAA